GACGTGATGAAGAAGAAAATAGTCAAAATGAAAAGTCGTTGCTGAAGGGGAGAATTGAAGAATCAGCACCGACATTGAAAAAGAATCTGAAAGTTGCTGAAATTAAAGCTCACAGCCATTCATGGAAAATTCTAGACAAAATAAATTTCAGTTAAGCCTAGAAGATTCTATCACCACCGCATACTGGAAGCCGCTAGAATTATCTATTATCCACCGCCATTAAAGAATTATTTAGAATCATCAATCTTTGTGTAGAAGAATCTAATGTCTATATATATCTGTATGTGTGCGCTCAACACATAAGTAATGTATTTGAGTGTGTAATTGAAAGAGTGCAAAACGAGTGAGTATGCAAGAGAGAAAGTGCAAGGTGTGCGTTAGTAAAGAAAATATTTTTGTTAATAAAATCATTTTTTAGTTTGGCCTTTAAACTCAACGTGGATTTCCTCAACCTTCATGCATGGCGTGCAATTGGTCAAGACCAAGCCCTTTTGCGAAGGTTAGGGACCCAACTGCAATTTTTCTTAATTAAAATTAAGGGTATGTTGGTCTTTTTCCATGAAAAGGCCCAGTTGTGCATCAAATATATAACCATTTGCACACCTTTTGAAAAATTGAGGGACCATTTCCCACAAATTCTCATAAAACAAGTGAGCTATTTGTCAAAGAAAATAATTTTACCAAGATATAAAGTATTTGTGATGGGAAGTATAATTTGTAATGCTTTTAAAACTAAGGCTGTGTCTAGGAGAGATTTTCTAATCTCAAAAATTGCTTTTTTTACCGTTTTGTGGCAGCATATGGGGTCTATTGTGAGATGAAAAGTTAAAGAAATCAGTTGGCTCCTCTTGCAACGGTCCAAAAAGCAACTGAAATTTACTGCAAAATTGGAAACAGACAAGCTCTAAATATTTTACGTAGAAAGAATGGCTAATTGAGTAAGTGAGGAATTTATTGATTTATACTTTTATTTTAATCATGGTTTTCATAATTGAAGTGGCCGAAAATGACCTCATGACTTTGCCTTTTTTTTTTTGGTTAAGAGTCTCTAAACGTGTCTTGTCTTTTATATTTAATGTAGTATTTGTGTTGATTGAGTTGTGATATGTCCTGTTTTATATTTAGATTTCAGAGTAAGCACTGATGTGACTTATGACTTATTGTTTATACCATGGTAGGGGAAGATTCAGTTTCGTGGTGGTACTGAATTTTTTTACTTGAATGATAGTTCTTTGTGATTTAAAAAAATAAAACAATTATAAAAGCAACTCGTTCCATTTTTTATACTTTTACAGGATTGTCTTCGATTGACATTTTGATAAATTAAAAAAACCCTTCTTAATTTAGATGTCCCATATTGAAATTTAGTGTGTGTCCCCTATTAAAATGAGTCAAAATTTAGGTGTTTTCAATTAAAATTTTAAAAAAATTGAATGAATTTCAAACTTAAAAAAATACACAATAAACTCTTTTGGAATTTTATCATTTTGAGATTTTAATATATTCTGCGAAATTTATAAATTCACGAATTTCATTAGAATTTATTATTTTTTAAAATTCATTAAAATTTGGTGTGGTGAAATCAATATCAAATAAGCTTTTACTTTTTATAATTTATTGAATATAAGCAATTGATCAACGGTGAAAAATTTGGACTACGTTACTGTAATTTTAATTAAACAAAATTAAAAAACATTACAAGAGCTGGAGAAGAATTTTAAATATTATGGGTCAAAAGATAAATTTATACCTAATAACGACCCCAAGTTGCAATTTATCCCTTCCCTTATCTCCCAATCCCAAGCCAAAGAACCCTAATTCTTCATCGAAATTCCTCTGTGACTACCAAGAAGGTCACTCTCTGTAGCACACGCACGCACACATATACAGAAACGAGGCCAGGCGCTGGGATACTACAGCAATGTCTTCAGCAAGAGATTCTGATCCGACATTAGGGTACCTGACCCGAAAAGAAACGGAGGTGAAGCTCCCCCGACCTACCCGGGTCAAGAACAAAACCCCCGCCCAGATTCAAATCACCGCGGAGCAGATTCTACGTGAGGCCCGTGAACGACAGGAGGCCGAAATCCGGCCTCCCAAGCAGAAAATCACTGACTCTACTGAGCTCGGGGATTACCGGCTCCGCAAGCGCAAGGAATTTGAGGACCTAATACGAAGAGTCAGGTGGAACAAAAGCGTGTGGGTGAAATATGCCAAGTGGGAGGAGTCCCAGAAGGATTTTACTCGCGCTAGGTCGGTATGGGAGCGTGCTCTTGAGGTGGACTATCGTGATCATACGATGTGGTTGAAGTATGCTGACTTTGAGATGAAGAACAAGTTTGTTAATCATGCACGTAATGTGTGGGATCGTGCTGTTATGTTGTTGCCTAGGGTGGATCAGTTGTGGTACAAGTATATTCACATGGAGGAGATGCTGGGCAATGTGGCTGGTGCACGGCAAATTTTTGAGCGGTGGATGTCATGGCAGCCTGATCAGCAGGGCTGGCTTTCGTATATAAAGTTTGAGTTGAGGTACAATGAGGTCGAGAGGGGAAGAGAGATTTTTGAACGGTTTGTAGACTGCCATCCAAAGGTTGGCGCTTGGATTAGGTTTGCCAAATTTGAGATGAAAAATGGAGAAATAGCACGTGCAAGGAGTTGTTATGAGCGTGCAGTGGAAAAGTTGGGGGATGATGAGGAGGCAGAGGATTTATTTGTGGCGTTTTCTGAGTTTGAGGAGAAATGTAAGGAAACAGAAAGGGCGCGGTGTATATATAAGTATGCCTTGGATCATATCCCCAAGGGGAGGGCAGAGGAATTGTACAAAAAATTTGTTGCGTTTGAGAAGCAATATGGTGACAGGGAAGGAATTGAGGACGCTATTGTTGGGAAGAGGAGGTTTCAGTATGAAGATGAGGTTAGGAAGAACCCGCTTAATTATGATGCATGGTTTGATTACATTAGGCTAGAAGAGAGTGCCGGAAATAAAGAAAGGATTGAGGATGTTTATGAAAGGGCCATTGCAAATATTCCTCCTGCTCAAGAGAAGCGATATTGGCAGCGGTATATATACTTGTGGTAAGCGCAAAATTCTTAACTGTATATGTACTAACACCATTTTCTTTTAGTATAGCAGTTTCTGACTGGTTGAACTTGTACACTCAGGATTAATTATGTTTTGTACGAAGAACTTGATGCACAAGAAGTAGACCGTACCAGAAACATTTACAAGTAAGCTGACGTTGATCCTGCGAGATATTTTGATTAATGACGGTCTTGTATGATGTGACTGATTCTATCCATCATTTGAAATAATATTTTTCACCTATCTGTGGTTTTTTTAAGTGGATAATCTGTGGCTTTACCATAACATCTTAGGGTATTTCTTTTGCCTAATAAGTTATGACCTGGGACATTGCACGCAGAAAATGCAGCTAGAATGCTTGTTATTACTTCTGCATTTCACCTGAGGGTGCCTTGTGTTGACAGATAGTTCATTTCACACCTATTTGTTTTGTTTTTTTTTCCTTTTTTTTTGTTTTTTTGTGAGTGGTTATCAATCATCTCGTTAGTTTTCTTGCACTTTTTATTCAATTTTCTTTAAATTGTCTGTTTTATGTAGCCATTTTTTTAGCAAATTCTTTGTGAAATTTCCTTGTCAAATTCGACTCTCAAGTTACTCAGGAATCTGAGGGCTGCTATTACTCAGTTATTTACTACTAGGTAAATTATGTTAATAGAACATTTTGGTATAAATGTCGCATCCTATTTATGGGTGCAGAAGCCTTACTAACATGACTTTCATTCTATGACATAAAGGACTATTCTGATTTGCTTTACTTCCTAGCTCTCATGGAGGGATAGATCAGTGTGGACTTGTTTAATGATGGTCATCACCTGTTGGGTTTGGGTACCTTTTATAAATTTATATAACTGTAGATATTATTCCTCTTAGCCAGAAACAAAATATGTCCGTAATCTCGAAAAATCCATCAATGAGTGGAATGATTGCAGGCTCCAGAAGATTAAGCACAGTGGCAATGTATTTTTCCACTCACAACGCCTTCTATTACGTTCTCTCCCAGTAGTTTCATCTTTACGAGGAGTCTCCATCCGAGATTTCTCAGTGATTCTCACTCACCTCCCTATCCCCATAAGGCATGATCTTTTATTACTCCTAAAGGGATATTTCGTGGATTGGAAGCCTCCTTCTGAAGGTTGTAGCTGATGACTTGGGGGGTGTTAGTAATCAAAATAACTTGTTTGAAAGGGGTGGCTGGAAGCACAGGATTTTGAAATTTAACAATGAAGGAAGAGAACAAGAAATTAAAAATCAGGAATCATGTCTAGCATCCTATAGGTATCATAGTAAGGGTTTCTCTACAGAATGTCAAGAAAGCTCATTAGTAGTGGAGATAAATACTAACACAGTTACTATGCCAGTGTACTTTTGACAAATGCATATCTAAATCATTAGAGTTGTGATGATTTGAGGAAAATGGAGGTCATTAGTCCGCTTCCTAGTTCAATCACAGAAAACTAATCATCTATAGAAGTATTTACTTATGTTTTTCACAAGCAAAAATTTCAACAAACAACCAATAGCATGCATGGTTAGTAAACCATCCCACGTTTGACAAGCGTTTGGTCTCAAGAACGTGATGTACCTGTTTCCATGTCATAAAATTTAATTTTTAGGTGACCCTATGGCATTATTGACGCGCTGGGTCAGTTGGGCATCCCATAGTGGGTCTCTTCACAAGCATTCAGAACATAAGTTTGAATTCACAGGCTATTTCCCCACCTAACTTGGTTTAAAGTTTTTAAATGAGACAAAAGTGGGCATAGTTGCAAAGAATAGGGAGGCCATCCCAGGTTAGGCAATTTTAGGCTCAATGTACTTTGTTGAGTTAAGCCTCAATTTTGTGATGGCGATATCATTCAGTTAGCTGGGTAGTAAGATCCCCATTTGGTAATAACTTGAACATACAACACATTAAACAAAATAAATCCTTAAAAATATGCAATTCTCCTTCCACACGCTTTGTTGGCGATGCCAAATCTCCTCTCTATTCTTAATTTAAAATAATTGCGTTTAATAAGCTACAAATTTCAATACCCTACTTTAATTATTCACTCACATTTAGCTCCTATTGGTAGAAATTAAAATTTAGATTTTAACTTAAGTCAAAGTTAACAATTAATTTTAACCACTTACTTTATGGGTCCCACAACTTTTCAACCACTCATTTCATCTTCTATCAAAATCTGCTAAAAAATTGATTTTAATTTCCACTAAAAACGTGCTTAAATTGATTGGCCATTGATATATAAAAAAATTATATTAAAGAAAATATGATGAAAAATTAATAAATGTTTCTTGAGAAAATGAAATGAAGAGCCAAAATAGAGAATATTGTTGAAGTGTATAAAAAATTTTACTTCCTAAATTTAAATATGCTCTTTATAAATAAATAATCTTTTAGAGATACTCTAACTGTGCTATATGCGCACACACACACACACACATGCGTTTTCTATATGAGTGCTCCATTTGATGAAACATATACTTTCCTTTTCTAGTTAAGCCTTGGTTAGCTTTGTTTTGGTGCACTTTTATGCAATTGCTAGCTACACGTGGGGCTGCATTTTGGTTAATTTTAGAACTTGTGAAATTGTAAAGAAATTATAGAAGTTTCCCTGATCTTGAAATATAGTGTGATGAATGGGCCCCTGATTGAACCCCATTCTTTAAATTCCATTTATTTTTTCAAACTCATTATTCAACCACACATTCTCCCAATAATATAATTTTGTATGTAAACCTAACGTTTTTTCCTACTTTTTAATCACAAAATCTCCAAAAATTCACTTTTTTACAAAATCTATTCTAAAAAATGGGCTGAAACAGGCTCTAGATGAGTTTCAAACTTTCAATCCTGCCAGAGGTAAGATTGGACTGAAAATATATCTTGTTTTGTAAAAGCTAGGCCAAAGTAACCAGTCCTGTGGTAAAATTAGACTGATATGTAACTTTTGATTGAAAAAGCTATGCCAAAGTAATTAACTTGATGCTTGTAAAGGGGTAAATTCCACATCGGATTGAGAAGTTACTCTTGATTGAAAAAGCTATGCCAGACTAATTAACTTGAGGTTTGTTAATGGATAAATTCCATGTCGACTAATTACTGAAATATAGACCAACAAATAAGTGTTTTTGCTAAACTTCATAATTAATAAGGTGACCTTTAAATATAAACCCAAGTCTTAGAGGGTGTTTGGTGGAGATTAAAATTAGATTTTTAATAGATTGTGATAGAAGTTTTTGAAATGTGTGGTTGAAAAGTTATGAAAACTATGAAAGATGTGTTTAATATTGATTGTTTGTCTTTGATTTGATTTTAATCTGGATGAAACATGGACTTAATATGGTATCAGAACCTATTAAGATTCAACGAATAATTTGATCCAATTAAGAATAAAATGAGCACAACAATTTTAAATATTGGTCTATTCAAACGAGTCACCATCTTACAGGAGCATGTTAAGGGATAAATTTCACATTGACTAGTAAACTTACCGAAATAGAGATCAACATATAACAATTTGGATTGATCCTCTTAATAAGATTGACATTTTAAGATTGAACATCAATTGTTAATAAAGCTGAGAAGGATCTTGTTAGAAAAATGTCAACAGTCTTTGCACACCTTCGAACGTATATGCAAGCACATCTTCCAAATTTTGCACTTTCATTGTTGATTCTTTGTGTCTTCTTTCATAATAATGGATCTGGTTTCTGAGTTCCTGATTTACTTTGATATTTGACCAGCTTGTGTCTCAAGATCATTCCTCACGACAAATTTTCTTTTGCGAAGATTTGGTTGATGGCTGCCCAGTTTGAAATACGTCAGTTAGATCTTGATCGAGCACGACTAATTCTGGGATCGGCAATTGGCAAAGCTCCAAAAGATAAGGTATCACAGTTGTTTGATTACATAATACTTTTTCTTCTTGTGTCGCCACATTGAGGCTGTTTAATCGCAATTTTATCTTCTGTGTATTGTTGTCCTTTCTGCATTTACAAACAGATATTTAAGAAATACATTGAGATAGAGCTGCAACTTGGTAACATTGATCGTTGCCGGAAACTGTACCAGAAATATTTGGAATGGTCACCGGAACACTGTTACGCTTGGAGCAAGTTTGCCGAGTTGGAAAGATCCCTGGCTGAAACTGAGAGAGCTAGATCTATTTTTGAACTTGCAATTGACCAACCTGCATTAGACATGCCAGAATTGTTGTGGAAGGTACGACGTCCTTGACCTACCATAATGTTTTTGATATTTTGAAAATATTTTGTTTTGTTATTGTATCTCCATGCTTTTGTTTGAAAATTTCTGTTAGCAGCTTGCATTTTGGCCTTTTGGCTGGCAGCTGTCAATTTGAATTGAATTATAAATAGAGCACATTGACTGGTAAAGTGCTAATTTATAGGATCATATTGTCTTACTATTCCTGCACCTCATTGAAGCAGTCATCTTGTCATTTCAATTGTCTGCACCGCAAGATTTGGAGTGAATTATTTATTAATTCAAAAGAAACTCTGGGCCGCTCTCTACTAGTTTTACTGCTGCATATTCTCAACTCCCATAAAGTTGAAAATATTGAAAATCTGGCCTGTTTTGATTGGTCTACCTCTCAATTACTGGAGCTGTTGGTCTATTCCAACACAAAACCTCAGTATTTACTTTATGACAGGCTTACATTGACTTTGAGATATCAGAGGGTGAATATGAAAGAACTAGAGCTCTTTACGAGAGGCTTTTAAACCGCACAAAACACTTGAAGGTTTGGATTAGTTATGCCAAATTTGAAGCATCTGCTTTGGAAGGCTTCCAGGATTCAGATGTGCAAGAAAGTGATTATGAACTGAAGAGAAAATGCCTTCAACGTGCTAGAGGTAAGATAATTTGATCCCAACGCATCCTATTACTAATAATTATTGTCTCTAGTTGTCATTTTCATTTTAGTAATACCCTCGTTCCTTTTTTTTTTCTTTCATCAGAGGTGTTTGAAAGAGCGCTTAGCTATTTCAGAACTTCTGCACCTGAATTGAAGGAGGAAAGGGCAATGCTCTTGGAAGAATGGTTGAATATGGAAAGTAGCTTTGGTGAGCTTGGTGACGTTGATTTGGTCCGTGTTAAGCTTCCGAAGAAACTCAAAAAGAGGAGGCATATCGAAACTGAGGATGGTCCTGCTGGGTATGATCTCAACTTCCTTTCTCTTTTCCTTAGTTGTCTATGCTCAACTTTATTTCATTTAATAGTTTTTACTCTTTGGAAATCTTGTTCATTCTTGTGGACCACAGGAAATACATGTGGGTGCCATTGCATGTTTCTGATTTTCTTTAGTTTCTGTTTCACAGCTGTGTTAAAATTAGTGGTTTCCAATGGGAAAAAGCCAACATCTTGGTTAGGTTGTATTGATTCCTTGAATATTTTAGAGGTGCTAGCCAGTGCCACGTGGAGAGTGTAAAAATGCCTGATATCAATTTGTTGACCTAAGTTGAAAATGAACAGATAAGCAAGTTGTTGGGAAGATGGTTGCAAGCTCGAGTTTACCTTTATAATATAGACTTATCATGTTTGGTGCACAATCCTTTAGGAGACTGAACAGTACATAAGCAAGATTTTAACTACATTTTGTACTTTAATAGTGTCCAGGACTGGATAATCCACCTTACAGGAAAAGCTGACTAGGGGCGTGTTCGGTAGAGATTAAAATTGGATTAAAATTGAAAAACTAGCTGTTATTGTTGACTTTTATTAGACGAGTGAGACCCAATAACAGCTATTTTTTCAATTTTAATTGGATTTTAAGCCCTACCAAACATGCTCTAGATTTTATGTTTACTAGCTAGCTCATATTTAACACATGACTAACCCTACCCGGTTCAATCAAAATTGATCCACAACGGTATACATTCTAATAATTTTGAAATCTGCAGGTACGAGGAGTACATCGATTATCTTTTCCCTGAAGAAACACAAACGACGAATCTCAAAATTTTGGAGGCAGCATACAAGTGGAAGAAGCAGAAGATTGTTTCTGACGAGGATTAGTTGGGTGAGTTGTGATTCAATTTCCTCTTCCTCGCAAGTTTTGAGTTTTTTGCAGGGTCTGGAATAATGGCATCCCTTTTGTTGCCATCTGATCTAGTAGTAGTAGGTGTACGTTAGTGCTGCCAACACACTCTCCTGTTGTTTGAAGATGCGGAAGCATCCGTGATTGGACAGAATGTTTTCTGTAACAGAGAATGCAGGCTGTATCATTTACCTTTTGTTCGTTCATGTGAAAAAAAAAAAAAAAACCACTTGTATGGTTAATTTTTGCTATGTACAGTTAAATGTACTTTACTGAACGTGACTATTGGGCTGAGTTTGGTCAATAGTTTCTGTAAATGAAATTCTAAACGTCAAAAAGAACAGTCGACTTTCATACGAAATTTTTTGAACAGCAGAGATGATGAATTTATCCGAATTGTCTCTAATTATCGGCGAAAGGTCCACGACGAAACCAACCATCCAAATAAAAACAGCCTTAACGTGGGGTGATGTATTCCCCTCGAGAACAAAGCAACATAATTAACGTCTGCCATCTACCTTCCGTTGAAAAACACATTCTTTTGTACAGAGAAGTACGTCATGGAGTGGAGAGGAATCGCTACATGTGATAACAAAAGCCCTCATGCTTAATAAATAATTGACATAGTCGAGCGTCAATATTCCCAATGTCCATGTAACCTTAGGGAATTTACTAGTAACATGGATAAATTAATCACATTCATTATATCATTTATTCAATTAGATAACGGCTAACTAGACTCATGCTTTCATGTTCTAATCCTAACAATAAACAACCAATTACCCGATCAAAAAAATAAACAACCAATTAAGAATGGAAAGACAAGAAATACTGGATACAGAAAATTGGAATGTTTTGCTTGATATTAACGAGGAAGCACAATTAGTAGCTTTTGTCCTTTTCACTTCTGTTCCTCCCCTTTTAGTGACAACTTTTCTAGTTTCTCAAGAAAGAATGCTCATTCTCTGAATTTCGAGAGTCAAACATCTGAATACTTTATGAGTGGCTGCAGTATCAAGTTGTGGAGTCTAATTATTGTCGTTGTGCGAAGTTCGTCACTAAAATTTTGTATCATCATAGAAAAAGAGAGGGGTTACAGAAGAGGTTTGTGCGAGTTTTCTTTTGTAAATTATTGAAGTGGCGGGGGAGGAATTTAGCCTCACATTGAAGCGAAACATCTAAAAATCTCGCGTGTGCTTATGTGTCTATTTATTTACTTCAATTTTATTGCTTTTGGTGGTATAGAATTAGTAGGATGTCATTTACAATTGACACGACTAAATTATTAGAATATAAAAGTGAGAAGGGCTAGTTGACACATTCATAATATAAAGTGAATGGAGTTACGTGAAATTGTACATGTTTCATAAAATCTTGGTTAGAGTATCAGGATTGGACAAGCTCGCCATCTCACGTAGGAGTAATCGAAAGAGAGTTATGGTGACATTTTAGTTTTCCCAGTAAAGTAGAAACATATAGATAAAAATACGTATTACATGAAGTAATTTCTCTTAATGAGAGACCACACATTTATGGAGAATTTGGACTGCATACTGGGATCTACGAACATACTGAATTTCGTGTCCAGAAATTTAAAGTCAAACGTTTTTACTTTTATGAGAATCGCATGATAATTTGACAATGATTTGGATAGTTTCGCGATTGAGGATTGATTTTATAATTATAACAAAAATATTGAGGACCAACTTGCTCATTTATAATGATCAATTTACTACTGGAGCAAATAATTGGTGACCGAAGGTGAAACTCTCTCACTCTCTCTCTGACACGAACACACAGAGCCCATAATTAGCTGCTTGTTCTCTGTGTGACTTTATCGGACGCACAAAACCTGCCTAAAGCCCTTTCGTCTACATATCACCCATCTGCTAAAGAAAAGAATCTTAACGGCCATACACAAACTCAAAAGACACAGGTGGGTTTAACTTTGTGAAAATCCCCTTTTTGGTACATTACGGAAAGACATTTCTACGATTTGTAACCTACGAACTGTTACGTTCGAATTCCGGGCTTCTTCAAGAATCGTAAGTCTGTAAGTTTCTGGTTTTAGCCCTTCAAAAGATAGCAAATGGGGATTATTCTCTGTGGCATGAAGTATTAGTTTATTATTATTAATTTTTTTTTCCTCCTTCTTCTTTAGCCTTTGTTAACTGCTTGAATAGCTGAGTGATTCAAGAGACCAAAAAGGCTGAAGATAAATGGACAAAATGGGTTTGTCAAAGTCTGAAAGATTTTCCCCAAAAATCTATTCAACTTCAAGGATACCCGGATTGATCAAATTCTTCCAGTACTCATTTAAGACGAACAAGTTTAATGATGAAGCCCAGAATGCTTTAGCAGACCTCGAGAATAACGTGAAAGTGGAGATTGAAAACCTTGAAACAGATCTTTATTCAACCAAGAAAGAGCTTGAACTGATGGAGAGAGCACAGGGCTTGTTAGAGCTGGAAAAGTTAAAGCTTGAGGATGGGTTTCGAAGGAGTCAGAGGGAGCATGATGCTTTGAAGGAGAAAATCACAAGCTTGAGTGAGGACGAGAGAGTTTCAATTGAGAGAGAGAAAAGGATTGAGGAGCGGTATGCTAAGGTTCGTGATGAGTTGAAAAGGAGTCAAACGAAATGTGACGAGTTAAATGAAATAGTCACAAGGTTCGTTGAGGATAAGAAAGTGTCAAGTGATAGAGGGAAAAGGACCGAGGAGCAATATGCTAAGGCGTGTGACGAGTTGAAAAGGTGTCAAAAAGAACTTGACGAGTTAAAGGAAAAAAACACAAGGTTGCTTGAGGATCGAACAGTGTCGAATGACAGAGAGAGGAGAACCGAGGAGCGGTATGCTAAATTTTATGATGAGTACTCTAAGGCGGAAAATGAAAAACATAAGATGATTCTTCACTTGAATGAGAGGATTGAGGAATTGAAGAATCAAAAATTGGGAAGCCAGCAGGCTGCAGAGATGTACAAGGAGAAAATTAAGTCTCTGGACTTGAGGGTTTCACACATGAACTGGGAGGTGGAGAGGTTGAAGCGTGAAAATTCAGAAGCTGATCAGATTGTGGAGGAGTTGAGGTGCAAAAAATTGGAGGCTGATCAGACCTTGGAAGTGTATAAGAAGAAGTTTGAAGATCTTAGTATGAGGTTTGGCAACGCAGAGCAGATTCTCGCCAAGGTTTTCAAAGTGGGGGTAAATGATCTATCGAATCTGGCAACTAATATAGAGAAGGATGTTAGTTTTTCAACTTGTGATGGTGAAAAGGAGAGTTCAGGGAATGGTGGTAAATGGAGTGGAGGGAATGATGATTTTGAAAATCGTGATTTAGAGCATTTTGGAAATGAAAGGAGTCTAAAGAAGGGTGCTGATGCAGGTGACACATTGCCTATGGTTCACTCTGGTTGTAAATCTAGTGGAACTGGAATTAATGGTTTGCAAGAAAGAGTTACGATTAATTGTTAACTTTATGGTCTGCTTGTTGCGTTCTGTCACTAGGCAACAAGCATACTAAAATCTGTATGATTAGTTGGAATCAATTTCTTTCAAATCCTCTGCTTTAGACTCACCTTCACGTGTTCTATGAATATAAATCTTATGCTAAAATTTTGAATTTTCTGGTTGCTTTTATCTTTGTTCCTGGAAGAAAGTCATCATTTTGTACTCCAATGAGGCTATTAGATGAAGTATTTGTACATTGCATTATCAGTTATTTGGCAATACTAGATTGCTGTATTTCCCTTTTTCTGCTTTCAGAAGCCGTATTTTCTGATTTGTGTTTTTAGATAGGGGAAGACCAGTTAATAAAACTGGACCTGTCTTGATAAAATGTTAAATTTGCAGTTGCCTTGATATGAATTGTACAATATTTGTTGGCACGCTGGAAGTTTCAAAGGAATGACATGTGACAATTGACATGACTGTGGCCACGGGTGGTGAGAACTTGGTTCTGTCTTCTTAGGCAAAAGAGGCTGGAGCAAATGGCTATGATATGTCTCAAAGTTCTCCCGGGATTTAAGAAATCTGCTTGCGATCCTGCTCAAACTGAAATAATGATTCTGATCAAGAAAATGAAAATGACAGATCATAGGAATTGTGCAGAACTTGGTGTTTTGTGTCTTAGATGGAATTTAATTGAGTCTTTTTTGAATCCCAGCATTATATACAAGGCTTTGACATGATTGGAACTATGTTTCTGGTGTACTTTTCTAATGCCAAATTCGTCTGACTAAATTATGTATGCATGTGCTGCAGGTCGACGTGCTATTAATGTGACCTTAGATCATGGAGAACAAGTCGCAAAGAACTTGGTGTTGGCTGGAAGTTCTCTTAAAATGGCACGGTCACTGAAATCTGGAGACATTGTTGAAATCAGTGACAGTGACGATGAAGCAACCCCTAAGAAAAATTTTCGAAGTCCAACTTTAAGTAATACAAACAGGGAAAACAGAGCACAATACAAAGAGGGTTCACTCCTGAGTTCGACACCAAAAAGGAAAAGAAGCACATATGGATGTGACAACGATGAAAATTTTCAAATTGGTGCACAGCAAGCGAAATGAATACTAGAAGTAAATTATGGTGGATCTGGGTCCCTCGTCAATAAGTTGGTAAACCCTAAATCAGTGGATGTAAATCTTGCACAAACTTTTTTGCCTTCCATACACAATCTGGTACTTGTCAGAAGATGTGAAGAAAAAGCCGAGGCCAAGGGTGATTCTCAAACTCCTTCGCAAGCATATCTGATGGCATTAATCTCAACGATTCTACAGATTCAGAAGACGAATCATTTTCAAGCTCTTGCATCAATAATATGGTTGGTTCATTCCAAGGTAAAATGAAATCTAAATCATGAATGTTTGGAGCTGACATGCTCAAGGACGTTTAGGAGGATCCAGAACTTCACCTGAATGCTGTCTGTGCACTTCATCGACAGGACTTTTGACTTTAAACCAGAGTGGATGATTAAGCCACAGTGATGTATTGCGGTATAGCTAGCATGGCAGACATTTGCATTGCTATTTATATTTTGTACTTTCTAAATCTGTGTCTTATGAATGATAGTTTTAGACGTTTTATCTGCTATAAAGTGTCTAATATTCTAATTCATGCATTATATTTCATGTCTGAGATGTGGTTTTGTGAATTTTCTTCTTATGAAGTCAAGCTCAAGAGGGGAGGTGTCGAAAATTACAAGTCGAAACATGTTGTTACAATGATATCAGTCTGCTTTACACATTTATGGAGTTTATATGTCTAAATTTTTATGATCTTATTCTTAGGTCGATTATAATCCCTGAGATTTGAATGAGCCTCAAAAACACAAGTTGATGTTTATGTTCTTGTCTCGCAACTGTACTCCCAGAAAGAAGAATATCCTCTCCTTCCCACACAAACACAGAGAGTGAGAGTCCTTCGACAAGTTTTGGGAGGCCAAAAAATCCTGAAGAAAAATGGAAAGGAGTTCTTAAGTTTTGAAGCATTATTGCCAATAATCTCCTCGAGTTCATCGATACCAGACTTGGTCAAATTTCTCAATAATAAAAAAATTAATGTAGCAAATGATCGCTGACAGAAATTCCGCCAGTGATCACCAACGGTCATACCGTTGTGATTCTGTCGGTGATTGCAATGATATGTGTTTTGGTAATTATAATTGAAATCAATATATGTCAAGTGTTAAGAAAAAAATTATCAATAATGATATCATTAGTGATTATTGACACGCATTCGTCGGCAATTACTAACGAACATGTTGTAAGTGCTGTTTTTGGGAATGATTGACAGTATTTCAGTCATCGATGGTAAGTTATTTTTATATTTTTAATTTTATTGACAGATAAATTAATTATTTTTTAATTTTTTATCATTTTGTAATAGTTCTGACCGAGAAAAGGAAAATAATAGAACATAGGAATCTAACCAAAGTCTTTGTGAATCCTAGCTTTATAAGGCTTTGTGAATCTAACCAACGTGCTATTAAACATGATCTTGGATCACAGAAAATCAGTAACAAAGCACTTGGAGTTTTCTGGGAGCTCCAGGAAAATGACACCATCACTAAAATCTGGAGATATCATTGAAATCAGTGACAGTGGTGATGAAGCAACCAAACAAGAGGATTCATTCGTGAGTTCGATACCAAAGAGGAAAAGAAGCACATGTGGAAGTGACAACAATGAAAAATTTCCAATTGGTGCAGAGCAGGAAAATAGAAGACGAGAAGTAATTTATGATGGACTTGAGTCTCTCATCAATGAGTGCTAAGTAAAGTTTAAATCCGAGATTGTAAATTGAGCATTTCATGGCATTGATGTCGGTGCTTCTACAGATTCAGATGATGAATCAATTTCAAGCTCTTGCATCGATAATATTGTTGCAATGTCGCAAGTCAGACATTGAACCACTGTGATGCCATAAGGTATAGCTAGCATGGCAGCCATGCCAATCTTCCTTTCCTTTATAAACTATTTGCATTGCTATCAAAGTAGTTTGTGTTTTATAATTTGTACTTTCTAAATCTGTCTTATGTACGATAGTTTTAGCAGCTATAATATATCTAATATTCTATTTCAGTAGTTATATGTTTGTGACAGAAGATATTATAGGCCCACATCTGAGCTCGAACGCCAAACCTACAATTTACTGTTTTTCCCTTTTCGGTCCAACTGTTCCTCAATCCATTCGGTCATCTGTTCTACATCACCATGCCAATTACTTCCCACAAGTTTGCCTCCATTGATCCCATTTCTGTTAAGGAGGCTGAAGATTATAATGGACAGTTTGTTTCTAGTGTTTGCTGAAGGCTGAAATCAAATATGGTGGTTGCTGCCAATGCCACCGGCTGTACTTCTTGAGATGGTTTAGAATTGAAGCTTTTCTCACGATCAGCTGTGATACTTCAGTGTTTATGGCTGCTTAAAGCTGGAGCCTTAGAAGCTGCTCCTCATTTTATCCTCGCCGTATCTCGGTAAGAAACTATGATGTCTGGTTTATTCCAAGTTGGAAAATTGACACAGTTTCTTCAAAGTTGCCTAATGCCTGAAGAATCTCTGACATATGATTGTCAATTTTACTACCACACAATTTCATAGAAAATTATCACCTATGATTAATGAACAAAAACATACGGAGAATGGCGGGTGCCTGAAAATCATTTCTTTGCAGAAGTTTCAGAAAACTGATGTGGAAAAACTCTGTTACCCTACCAATTTGAAATGTATACTCAAATTTGAACTAGATTCGATTATTTTTGTATGTATATATGTAGCCGAGATGTTACTTTGGTTGAGATTGTCGTATAGATTGTTCTGTGGAATTCATTGAATGTACTATGTACACACAGTTATAGCAAATTGTGATAAGCTGCCTGATTTTTTCATATTTTTGGTGTAATAATCATTTTACTGCAGGTCTAAACTCAATATTTGCTTTATTTTAATCAGTTTTATTTAATGTTTTTTGGTTGTAACATAGTTTAGTTGCATTAGAGCTTGTGTCCTTTGTTTACATACCGGGATTCAATGTGAATCCTAGCTTCCCGGGCCACTGTTTCCACCCAAGGAAATCGAGTAAGGGGCGTACCTTTTCCACCGTGAGAATGTAGAAAGCAAAACCAACCCAGATATTGCGGGAGGTGAAATATGCACTGTAAAAGAACATGCACAATCAAGAACTCGAGAGATAGATTACACTATTTTTCTGCTGAGTTCGGTGCAAATTGTGTAACTACCTTTCAAAAACATAAAATAAAAATAAAAATGGAAATGGAAAAAATAGAAAGAGAGTCACAAAATTCAACAATTTACCAATGTAAAATTGTAAAATTGTTGAGTGTTCGCTTTTGCTTAGGATGAACATTACAAAATGAATGAGAATCCAAACTATTTGGTGAATTTAAGATACATATGATTACGATACTCCTGAGTCGGAGACATTATTTGTTCTAGTTCTTCGACGACTCATGCCTGATGGTACTCGGTTCTCTCCACGAATTCGAGATATTCTAGCACTCGGATTTAAAGGTGATATTGGCGATGAATAATCTCTTGACGTATACGCTGGTGACCATTTCGGTGATGAACATGTTCTGGACGCACGGCCTGATGAGGAAGCAGGAGAGAGACTAGGATCAGTTTTCGTTATTCTTGATGGTGAAGATCTTGTGGAGTTGCTATTCAATTTCCCTGCATCAATTTAACGTATTTAGATATAAGTTCGTTCTTGAGGAGCATTGGCTGGAAAGAAATGATATAAGTTGCATGAAGCTTGAAATGTAGACTTTATAAATTTTTATTTTTTAAGAAAACCATTAATTCTTTGAAAGATAAACTAGTCTTTGAATGCAAAATATGTGCGAGTTCAACTGTAATTGACTTGTCTGAAAGCATTTATACTACTTGTTATGAAAATTTCGGAAGAAGTAGTTTGAATCAAAAACTTCTAAAAGTACATGTATTTATACTACTTGTTATTAACTAACACTACCAATTTTTTTCAAATATGGATCCAATTTCAGGAAAAGCCGATGATGCGATTCCATTAGAGGATGACCTTGAAGATATGACAATGGATGGAAAAAGCAAAAAAGGAAACAAACAGTACGAGGTGTGAGATCATTTTAAAATGCGGGGAAATGAAAATGTAGAATGTAATTATTGTGGACAAACATATAGGCATCATGCGAAAGACTGCAGAACTAGTACATTGTGGAATCATCTCACGCATTTGTGCAAGAAGTATCCGTATAGAGTTTAAGACAAAAAGCAAAAGAAAATGACTGGTTATAGCATGTTTAAAACCGGAGAGCTGTGGAAGGCGACATTTATTTTCCATTATCAGCTTTGATATTTTATGCATATTGTTTTTCAGTTGCTTGTTAATATCATTAATAAGGACTAATAAATATTTTGATATTTACATATTTTACAGTGGCCGAATCATGTGTTATAACATGGGATATTGATCCAGTTTTTATCAAATGAGAGGCTATTACTCTTGTACTTATTCTGATAATATTACTTGTAAAATTTGGAGTGCTTGTTGCTAAATGCTAATTTGATACTATTTTTTAGTCTTTTTGTTTATATGTAATTTAATATTTAACATTATTAGTTCTTATTTATAAAAATTTCAAACCGCATGAAATGGTTTGGGTTGAAAATATAACACAAATTGCTCAAACCGAACCGTGTTCATCCCTATTGAAAACGGCAAAGAGAACATGTCTTGAATTTTTGAAAAAATGGAGGCCAAAACATAGGCTTAGTCCCTGTTTGACAACATTTTTCTGTAAATAATGAGTTTTTTAATAGTAAATTTTTGAAAAACGTGTTTTTAAAAAGTAGGAAAAAATAGATTTATGTAAAAAAAATATTTTATTGTAAAAATATGTGATTGAAAATGAGTATAAGAAAAAAAGAGTTATGAAAAACTAATTGTCAAACGTAGGCTTAAAAAATAAAAATGGGGTCACCACCATTACAATTTCACATAATACAGAAGGCATATAAAGGAAAAATAAATAATTATTTCTGTTTGGTTTAGTTTGTGAACAAAGAAT